TCTTCACAGACCTTGACAGAACAGTACTCAACTTCATATGGAAAAGCAAAAAACCGAGGATAGCCAAAACAACCCTGTACAATAAAGGAACTTACAGAGGCATCACCATCACTGATTTCAAGCTCTATTATAGAGCCATAGTTCTGAGATGGCAAAATTATGGTATATCTGCCAAGAAAACCTGCAGAAATGGGGTAAAAGAATCCCAAGAGAAATGTTTTGCTTTCAGCAAAGCTGAAGAAGAGAGATAACTATGCCCTTTTAACATTGCTGTTATATATTGAGTATATCATTTGAAGTTTGCTTTCTGGATCTTGTTTTCATCCATTGTTTCCTCATTGTGGTCCTTGTTTCACCATTCATAATGGTAATATATATTCTGTTCCATTGTACACTAGAACTATATAATTTGCTTTTTTAAAAAAAAACTTTATATAGGGTTAAAATGAGAAGATTGCTTTGAGTCCTGGAAGAGACTTTCACTTCAGACTTCCAAAGTGTTGAAACTATAAAAGACTATTGGAACTTTTGATTTTTTACTATATGCAAAGCAAAGGAGACTCATGGGCTGTCATACAATTTCCATGTTTCTCTCCACCATTACAAAATGGAGTACAAACACACACATTCAGTTATATGTCATATAAACATGATAAGACAATATATATGCACATTTTGTCTTCAATTTGCTATTTTTAATAATTAAATATCAAATAAATGAACAAAGTGAACATTCAGAAAACTTCTTTAAATAAATATGTCTATCTACTTTGAATATTAGCATTGTATTTTTCTGTCTTGCCACATGATAAGACAAGTTGGTATCTCTACTTACATTCACAATCCATATAAGATATTCCAAAATATTTTCACTACTACCACTATCATTGTGTGTTGTCACAATGTAATCAACTTTAATTAAGAATCCATTAATACATACTTATTTTTTCAAATGCCTTCCATAAACAATTATACTCACAGTTAATGCCTTTTTCTATACTTTCTCCATATCCCATTGAGTTGTTCTGATTTATTCTCACATATATTCAATCTATTCTTAAAACCTCATGAGTCTGCTTGAGCCCAGTCCTCTGTTCAGACTCCCATTATTGAAGTCCTCCAAACTCTCAGACTACTTCATCCAAATTAAAATATACACATTTTTGCCTGCTTCTTACAATCAGTGACACAGGGGCTGCTGTTTCCAGAAGCCTCTCCTAGGCCACTTCTTTTCAAATCTCTCTTTTTTATTTAAAAACAAATATTTTCCATTTCCATACCACCTCCATCTCTCCTCCCTCTGTACCCACCCTCCTCTGACCCCCCAACTTTCTACAACCAATTCACTCCTCATGGGGATAAAGCCATCCTTGGGGAGCCAACAAAGTCTGGCATAGCAAGTTGAGGCAGGACCAAGCCCATCACCCCATATAAAGGCTGAGCAAGGTAGCCCACCACAGGGAATGGGCTCAACAAAGACAGCTAATGCTACTGAGATAGGTCCTGGTGTCAATGCCAAGGTCTCTCCCCACAGATAAAGTCACAAAACCATCACCCACACTCAGAGTGTCTAGTTTGGTCTCATGCAGGTTCTCTAGCTGTCAGTCCTAGTCCATGAGCTCCCACTAGCACAGATCAGCTGTCAGTGTGGTTTTTTGTAGAATCATGGTCTGTAGCACAAATAGTAAAACCCAGGCTTTCATGGTGAAGATCAGAAAAGCAAAGCAACAAAACAATAGAGATTTCTTACCTCTACTAAGGCTGGGGTGATCCTGCCTTCAGAGTGACTGAAGACTGAATACACTGCACTCCTGTCTCCACCCATTTTATATTCCTCTCTAGTGCTAGGATTAAAGGTGTGTACCACTACAACCACCACCACCACCATCACCACCACCACCCAGCTTCTATGGATAACTAGTGTGGCCACCTGAATTCAATTTGTGAGCTCTCTTTCTCTTTTAGACTGATTCGCTTTGATGTATCACAAGGTAGCCCTGTACTCACAAAGATCCATCTGCCTCTGTCTCCTGAGCACTGGGATTAAAGATGTGTACCTCCACTGTCTGGCATCTTAGGCTGTGCCTAGCTTTGCACTCTGAAATTCAGAAAAGCTTTATTAGGTCATAAAAATATCATCACAATGGTCTTGAAACCCTGTGTTCATATTATCCCTCCTCCCTCTCTTCAACTGCTCTAGGAGCTGAGCCCAGTGCTTGATGTGGGTTGCTGCATTTGATTCCTAAAGTTGCTGGATGTAGATTCATGTTTGTCTTTCTTGGTCTCAGTTACCTCACTTAGGATTTTTTTTTCTAGTTCCATCCATTTGCCTTCAAATTTCAAGATGTCAATGTTTTTCACTGCTGAGTAATACTCCATTGTGTAAAATTATCATATTTTCTTTATCCATTCTATGGTTGATGGGCATGTAGTTTGTTTCCAGGTTATGGATAATCACTTTTCTTCATATTTTTACTCTTCTATACTTTCAAAGTAGTGCGATAGAATCTCTGCTGCCTTTTCTCTTTTCTTTTCTCACTGCCTGTCCTGTGGGGTATTTTCTGGGTAGTTAATTTCTGGGGTAGGGAGCAGTGCACAGTATGTATAGTCAGTTTTATGCAAATGTGCCTGGATTTTATAAGAAAACTAGGCAGTATTCTAGGGGAGACAAGCCAGTAAAGCAGTATTTCTCTGTGCTCTCATGTTCAGTCCCTGACACTGGATTCCTGCCTTGAGTCCCTTCCTTGGCTTTCCTTGATAATGGACAATAATTTATATACTAAAATACACACCTGCTGTCCTCATATTGCTTATGGTCAGTGTTTTATCATACCAACATAGAGCACAACTAGAATAGTAATATCTACCAAATTTGGTCTTTTATTGTTCAGAAAGTATGTGCCCATGAAATTAATGATAAATATTTACCAATGGTTTTGTAGATATGAAACACTCAATTAAATTCTATAGGGAATTTTTTCTGAGAAATGTTGTTTGCAGCTTGCCTTTACATCTCAAACTTTCATGCAACCAGTTATCAAGTTTATAATGTTCTATATGGTCATGTATAACTATGTCCTTATTCTGTTTTCTTGCATATACTAAACCTATTCAAAATTAGCTGACTTAAAAAAAAACACTTCATTATCAATCTTAAACCTTACAAGTTCAGCTGAATGAAGAGCCTAGATTGTAGCTTTTCCCATACTTTTCCTTTGTATTTCCTATGCAGAAAATATGTGTGTTTGCACGTGTGCACAAGCGTGTGTGTGTGTGTGTGTGTGTGTGTGTGTGTGTGTGTGTTAGTGGTGGAGGTGTTGTGGTGACCATGTCTAAGACCACTCACTGAAAGCAGCAACATGCTGAAAGCAATGTAGTTCCCTACTCCAACACCATAAAATATTTTAAAACAACATGTTCATATGATGCTATGCTGAGTCAATATGGAAAAAAATTAAAAAATGAAACCATCTTTAAGGACTCTTGTAAAAGATTGATTAAGACAATAGTACCTCATTACTTGTTGGCACTGTATTTACAGTGCTGTTCAATATATAATGAGGATGGAATTAATTCAGTCCTACTTTAGATTAGATTCTTCTATATTAGAACAAAAGGGACAAAAATCCTATGAATAAATCAGTTCGAATCCTGAGAAAAAATAGCTATTGTTAGTCTTCCTTTTTTTAATGGAGAATTGTCAAAAATACATTGCATACATTCATTTATTGAATAAATTGGGATTTTTCATAATATTATATTTAACAACAATTATTTTTTAAATTACATACCAATGCTTAAGGAAAGACATTGTATGGACAGAATCATATGACTCAAAAGTTTTAGAAATTACATAGCAAGAGAAAACTATATATGGTTCCTTTTTGAAGAGACGAAATTGTTTCCATTGTTTCAAAGTAATGATTGTTTTTGTTCACTATGACATCTTTTCCATATAAGTTAGCTTTCCTGAAACACATTTCTTTTGCATTGTTCACTGAATTAATTTTGTTTTAATTTTACCTTAAATGCTAAATCCAGTTAACAAAAATAGTAAATATTTTCACTTTTTATATTATTCCTCAGGAAATTTAGTGTCCTTAAGCATCAGTAATTTTCTCTCTAATTTGGTTACTTTAATATTTTCTATATTTATATTTCTTTAATGGAGTTTTATTACATATTTTAGAGAAAAACTGCTACTCAATTCTTCAGCGGACTTTATATTCTGACATGTTTGGCTCTTTATTAAAGTTTAGAGTTTAAGTCGTGAATTGTTTTAATGTATCAAAAAAACATAATCTTTGATCACATGGCTGCACATATAAATATTAAATATTCCAAATTAAGCAAGTAAAGCCATGAAAATAAATTTTTAAGACAAGATGAAAAAAATCAAGGTTGTGGGAAGGGAAATATATATAAACACCTTAAATAATAACAGATATCATTTTTTCTAAAACACGATGTTGACAAGTAATGAAAAGAAATGAATAAATGATTAATTTATAAATACATACTGGTACAGGCAAGAGCTTCAGAAGATTTTTTGACCTAACTTCTCAACAACAGATTTGCAAACTTTCCTTTAGATTCTTAAATTAAGTATTGCTGTGTTTTGTTAACTTGAATTAAGTCTTGAAGTGTTTACTTAAGTGATTTTCTCCAAAAAAAAAAAAAAAAAACACTGCAAGAATAGAAGAAAACAAGAAAGGAGATACCATAATAGAGGAAGACAATTTAGGTTTAAAGAAAAATCAGGCACTGGGGAAATGTCTGGAGATCTACAAAGATGACACCAACTAACAATCTAAGCAACAGAGGAGAGGCTACCTTAAATACTCTCCCCTGATAGTGAGATTGATGACTGACTTATATGCCATCTTAGAGCCTTCATCCAGTAACTGATGGAAGTAGAAGCAGACACCCATTACTACTGACTGAACTGAACAGGAATCCAGTTACAGATTAGGATGAGTGATGAGCAAAGGGGTCCAGACCAAGCTGGTGAATCCACATAAACAGCTGACCTAAACAAAGGAGGGTTCTTGATCTCCAGACTGATAGCTGGGAAACCAGCATGGGACTGATCTGGACCCCAGAAACCCTTGAACGTGTGTTTCAGTGAGGAGACCTCGGAAATCTATGGGGCCTCCTGTAGTAGATCGCTAAGTACTGATCTCTAGCATAGGTGCGGACTTTGGGAGCCCATTCCACATAAAGGGATACTCCTTGAGCCAAGATACGCGTGTGGGCCTAGGCCCTATCCCAAAGGATATATAGACTCTGATGATTCCCTATGCAAGGCCTCACCCTCCCTGGGGAGCTGAAAGGATATGTGATAGGTAAGGTTTTAATTGGGGGGTTAACAGTAGAGGGGGGATGTAGAGGGAACTGGGATTGACGTGTAAAACAATCTTGTTTGTTTCAAATAAGAAAAATCCTAAAAAAAAGACAAAACATCAATGCATATAAAACTAAAAATATATAAATCATTAAAAACTCAACAAACAAAAGAAGATTAATACATTCACAGCTTATTCTTAGATTCTATAATTTAATGAAATTCATAAAATGTACCAGTTTTATGTTTATGTTTATCTGTCACCACTATTCAATGCTACCTTCCACTTGTCCTGTGGCCTGATTTCTCATATCTCGGACAACTTGGACTGGTTTTTAAAATTCCACAAATTTCATGGCTTCAATATTATTTTTACTTTAAAACAATCTCCTCATTTTACATACCAATCACAGTTCCCACTTGCTCCCCTCCTGTTTTCTCTACCTTTCCCCACTTCACCTCCCTTCCACTCCCAGAGAGGGTCAGGCTTTATATGGGGAGTCACGGAAGTCTGGCACATCATTTTGAGACAAGACCAAGGCCTCCCATTCTACATCTAACATTACCTAGGTATCACTCCAAAACCCAGTTCTAGCACTAGGGTAAATCCCTAGTGGGTAAATCCCACTGCCTGGTCCTCAGACTGCCCAAGCCACACAACTGTCACTCACATTCAAAGGGCCTAGTTTAGTCCTCCTATGCAGGTTCCTTTCAGTGCAGGTCAATGAGCTCTCAATAGCTCAGGTCAGATGTTTCTGTGGGTATCCCCCAAATAGTCTTGATCCCTTTGCTCATATTATCACTTCTCCTGGGAGCTTGGCCCAGTGCTAAGCTGTGGATCTCTGCATCTGTTTCCATCAGTTTCTGGATGAAGATTCTATGAAGATAGTTCAGGGGAAAAATGCATCATGAAATTTACAGGCAAATGAATGGAACTAGAAAACAAAACAAAAACACCATGAGTGAGATAACCCAGACATAGAAATACAAACATGGTATAACTCTGTGGCTTTTTAAACAATACACAGTTACCCCATAGGGAATGTAGCTCTACACCATAAGAACAAGATATTCGAACTTTGGTGTTTCTTGGTTCTTATATGAAGCTACTTTGGACTTCATAAGGGGGATAGGGCAAATAAGCCATCTTAAGTTTTTCTAGACTCATTAACTAATGGCAATGGGCATCACACATCACCATTTTTCTTTATAATATCATATTAAGGAAATTAGAGTTTACCATACAAATGCTGGAACAACACAGACATTAGTACCATTAGTGAAGCCATATGATACATATATACAAATTATTATGATTTTGGGCCAATACTTCTTTGAACCAGAAATTTCATATAATTGAAATCTGTCAATGAATCTTAACTTGAAAATCTTTCCAACCAGTCAATAACATAAATGTCCTTCTTTATTCTGGTCGTAGGAATATAGAAGCAGTTTGGACCTGGCTCAAGACAATAGACAGGCTCTTCCTATCTTAAAGTGGAAGCACTAAAGTCTATCCATCATCCATCCTCACCATCTCAACAAAGAGAATTGTATTACTTTTCCTTTCACCTTTAAAAGGATATTTTATTTATATGAATATAGATTTATTGTTTCAGCTGGTATTTTGAATTTTGAAAAACCATGAGATTTTTGTTGTTGTTGTTTTTCCAGACAGGGTTTCTCTGTGTAGCTTTGAAGCCTATCCTGGCACTCTCTCTGGAGACAAGGCTGGCCTCGAACTCACAGAAATCTGCCTGCCTCTTCCTCCCGAGTGTTGGGAATAAAGGCATGTGCCACCAAAGCCCAGCTAAAACCATAAAATTTTATTGAGTTTATTTCAATAGTCTGTGTTATAGTCTTCCTTGCGAGATTCATGTACTATGATTTTGACCATTTTCAGTTTGAAAAAATTATCATGACTCTGCCTAATATCTTCGTAGTATGGACACATTTTGAAAATTTTAAATGGCATCAATTAACTTACTATCATTTTCTTTGTTATTCCTGTAACTACAAAATTGTCAACAGAACTATTATGATAAGTACAAACTCATTTCTATGCCAAATAACATTCACTACATCCTATGATTAAACAAGAATTTTTTATGTAAAATATTGAGAACTTCTAACAACAACTGAACACTTAGAGGTTAATAGTAGATTATTGAAATTTACCCAATAAAGTAATTCCCTATTACTGGAAACTGCTTTTGCCCTTAAAAATTGTATTGGAATCTATTCCTGAGATTAGGAAAGCATCACGCCTTATTCTGCCCTAGAGTATCAAGAGCAATAGCCTTGGCATTGACATATGTTTTTAAATAGCCATTTTGAAGAAAATGGGATTTTTTAATTTAAATTAGAAATGAGATTATTTTACATGTCAATTCCAGTTCCCTCTCCCTCCCCTCCACCCCTGCTCTCCACTAACACCCTACCTATCCCATACCCTTTCTGCTCCCCAGGGAGAGTGTGTTCTTCCATGGGGGGGGACTTCAGAATCTGTCATATCCTTTGGGATAGGGCCTAGGCCCTCACCCATGTGTCTAGGCTGAGTGAGTGTCCCTCTATGTGAAATGTGGTCCCAAACTCCATTCCTATGCTAGGGATACATACTGATCTACTACAAGAGGCCCCATAGATTTCCAAGGCCTCCTCACTGACACCCACACTCATAGGGTCTGGATCAGTCCCATGCTGGTTTCCCAGTGATCAGTCTGAGGGCCAAGAGCTCCCACTTGTTCAGGTCACTTGTTTCCGTGGGTTTCACAAGCTTGGTCTTGTCTAATTTGCTCAGCACTCCTCCTTATCTACAACTGAATTCCACTTCAGTTCATTGTTTAGCTGTTGGTATCTGGTTCTGCTTCCATCAGCTGCTGGATGAGGGCTCTAGGATGACATATAATTCAGTCATCAATGTCATTATCAGGGGTGGGCATTTAATGTAGTCTCTCCACTGTTGCTTAGATGGTTAATTGGTGTCATCCTTGTAGATTTCTGGACATTTCCCTAGTGCCAGATTTCTCTTTAAACCTGCACTTGTTCTCTCTATGATGGTATTTCTTATTTTGCTCTCCTCTGTTCTTCCCCCTACACAAACCTCCTGCTTCTTTATGTCCTCATTCCTCCTCTTCTCCCCTTCTCATTCTCCTAGCTCATTTATGTCTCACTTAGAGTAAACTTTGTTGACAGCTCCTCCAGTGGAGTGGTTTGTAGATTGGTAATCCTTTGTTCTATGTTTAAAAATCCATATATGAGTGAGTGCATACCATGTTTGTCCTTTTGTGACTGGGTTATCTCACTCAGAATGGGTTCTTGTAGTTCCATCATTTGCCTACAAATTTCAAAATTCCATTGTTTTTTTTTCCGCTGAGTAGTACTCCATTGTGTAAATGTACCACATTTTCTGTATCCATTCTTCAGTTGAGGGGAATGCAGGGTGCTTCCAGTTTCTGGCTATTACAAATGTTATTAAGGGGATTCATGAAAAATATGGTATTTTGGACTTGAAATAATTCAGGTAAATACATTTTTAAAAAAGATTTCTGGATTATTATGCAGTTGCTTTCTTTAGATGCCATTTGAATATATATTTTGAGAAGAAACTTTAAAGAATAATGACACTTGTACCAATCACAACTGGCCATTAATAATTTTATAGGCTCGCTAAATAATGTGTTACTGATGATCAATATTAATAATTTTTTACAGAAACTAAAATTCTTTAGAGTCTACATTTAAATTATCTTGGACATATTTTGAGGTATTCCTTTTTTATGTATCTATTGTGCTACTTTATTAAATTTTAAACTAATGTTGAGCATGTATTTATTCAATGAGACATATTTACTCAGAAATCACTGTCTCTTGCATTCCCAGATGCCTGCGTAATGCCTGCTCTTCCACTATTGTCTGCCAGTCTCTGACATACATGCGACTCTAAGCCAAAGGTAAGCAAGAATTTCAAATAGCTTGTATTGTTCATATTGCTTCAGGGCATTCAGTCTTTGTCTCGAGGAGAAACTCATGGTTATGTTGTTCAGCTTCTCTCATTCCCAGAACTCTGGTTAATTAGCCTCAATATATGAACATTGATTGTCAAATTGTTGGGATGAAGAATTCTATACGGTCAAAGCTCAAGGGTGCTATCTGGCTATCTGTTCCCTGTAATTGTTTTGACTCTTATCATTGTTTGCAATTTTTGTGTCCCACAAAAGGCTGCTGAGCCCCTATGCTATTCATCCATTCATGTGTGTTTTCTCAGATATAAGAAATGATAGACCAATATCATCCTTCATCTGTCTTTCTTTTTCACAATTTTTCCCCATGAAATCATTTGCTAATGCTGAGGACAGAATACACATGTATTCTTATTTGATTATTTCACTATATAGTCTTTTTTGGATTCGTAAATGAGCTTTATTTGTGCTCATTGTCAACTATATCAGTATCCATATAACTCCTTTCCAAGTTAATTTTGGTTCTGTTGGTACATTTCCAAGTATGTTTGCGCTGTATGATTTTTCCTGAGACACTGTGAACAAATTCAACCAGACTGATCTGAAGTGATATAGTACAAAGAATATATTTACCAAAGTTTGTTTTGTTACACCAAATATATTTGTCAGAGTTACCTATATGATCAGGAATGAAGGGTTTTCTATGGGAAAATGGATTATTTAAAAACAGTTGTACCATTGAAGTGTACACCAAAGGGTGGTGATGGCTTCATACAAGAATCATTACAGCTTTCTTCCCATTTTCAAGCATGCAAATGCCAAAATCTCTTGTCACTGATATACTACTTGTATGCTAAATAAAGGACATTTTGAATCTTGTGGCTTCTGAGCATCCTGGGTCTTTTTTAATTCCCCGCGTGTATTTAGACTTCATAACTTCCTGAGTCTTATAAGACTTCTTTCCATCCATAGACAAAAAATTCCAATTTGAAGAAAATAACTACAAAACTGTCAATTAATATATTTGACTGTATTTCATATTAGCTGCATATCATGTAATCATTACCACCTTGAGATAAATGTGTAAATTATTCTTGAATATAATTATCATTTATAAATAGATTTCAGAAGCTGTTTAGAGGAAGAATTAAATATGTTGTAATGCACTATTTTAATCAGTAAAATTAGGTGAAAATTGCATGCATTTGCCAATTTTAGGCATGACTTATTTCAGCAAACATTCATAATGCTTAATAAAATTAATATCTATTCAGCATAGTAGAGAATTTCTATTCAGAATGTTACAATTTGATTTGCAGTACTGCCTAATAAATGGCTCTATGAAGGGTTATTTCTATTGATATTAGCCTTCACATTTCTAAATGATTCAAATTTTATATTTATTCATTTGCCAATCAAGATTTTAATAATTCCTACTCTACTTATTATGTTCTGTTGAGCATACTGCATAATTTAATCAATGTTAGACTATTTAGAATTACTATTACAAATTTTTCAAAAGCATGACAAGTTTTAGTAAGAAAGTAATAGGAAGAATTATTTTAATAGGTATTCATAAAAGCAGGTATATTTTTGCATTAATGAAAATGTTTATCATGTAAAATATTTGTTTTATAGCAATGAATTTATTTATATTATTATTTTGATACACAAGTAAAGAACAAGAGTCTTTTGAATCCTAAGTCATTGTGCTACCACTGAGAATTATCTACAAACTCAGACTTATTTATTATTATAATCCATGTAAAGGCCAAATTTTTTCACTTTTACAATTCTGCCTTCACAAGAGAACACATTCGGATGAGTGGACACAATCAAATACCATCTGCAGACCTATCATAAAGAAAATTTATGTATATTCAGGTTTATAATATGATATTTAGGAATATTAATCATTATGATGAGTTGCATAATCAAACTAACTAGTATGTCCTTCCTCTTATTTAACTTGT